TTTTCTTTTAGTCATGTCTGCACCCAACACGGGGCTCGAACTCACAACCCTAAGATCAAGACTCACATATTCTCCTGACTGAGCCAGCCAGGCACCCCAAAAGATAAAATACCTTAAAAGGTTGAGAAATACTGATCTCTGGGATAAATCCATGCCTCAACATGGCATTCAAAGCCTTCTGGACTCAACCTTTTCCCCAGGGACTCACCTTCACTGCTATAGTGAGCTACTGTTGCTATATTTGTTGTTTCTAACATTTCAGGCCCTTTCATATCTCACATCTGCGTGTTACTTCTGGTACCTGAAATGTCCCTTCCCTTCTGGTCAACTAGGAAACTCCCAACCTCCAAAGCCCAGTTCAAAAGTCCCTCCCTCAGTATAACCTTCCCTGATTTGTTGTTTTCCATTTACATCCTCAAGATACTTCCTTCTCCCTCTGAAGGTTATCAATGAAGTCACCATCATTGCAGGGCTCACTCTGAATGTGATTATCCATTTAAAAGTCCCTAGATTAGATTCTAGAGTAAATTCCAACAGAGCTGGGCCTCTCAGATTCATTCAAAGAACCTACCAATGGGCCCCGGCTTAGAGTAGAATTGAGGGATGAGTGAATGAAGAAAGAACATAGATGAGATTTCTGGGAGATGAACGAATAAATCCAACTTTTGGCCTAAGCCACTGACCGCGGTCCCCAAAGCCCAGTGGGTAAACTTCGTATGAGCGGAGACTTCATTGCAGCTACCTCTGCCAGTCCCATCCCCCAGTTCCATCCCCGCGTGGCAGCGACAGAGGACACAGTGTCGGGAGAGAACAGGCTGGTTTCTTTCCGTCAATGAGGCCGGGCCGGAACCCGAGCACGCCCTCCCCAGGGCTCTTCACCCGGCCCGGGCCCACTCCCCTAAAGGATGCGGCGGCTCCCGCCCAGGATCGCGTCAAACCCACTGCCCGGACACCCCCAGACCCGAACCGCATTACCTGCGGCAGCTTAGGAAGGTCCCGGACTGTGGCTCCGCCCCTAACATGGGCGGGGGTTGTGCCTTCGCCCCTCCCCCAGGCCCGGAAGAGCGGGACTGCCAACCGCTCGCCGTCTCCCAGCGTCATTGGCCCGGTCCCCAGGGCGCGCCCTTTGGAAGGGGACCGGGAGGGCTCCTACCCGCCAGGAATGTCGGTCTGGCTGTGCGTGTCTCGGGAGCCAAACTGGCCGGCCGTCCCTGGGGCCTTTCCTCCCCGGCGGAGTAAATAAGCCAGGGCTCCTTGGAAACGACTTAACAAGCGAAGTGCAGGGGGTTGGGCATCGGCTTAGAGGACCCAAATTCCTTCGGCAGCTGGGCTCCCCTGAAGGAGCTAGGGTGTTTTCAGTTCCAGTGGATGTTATAAATGGTTTTTGAAATGGTTTCAAAGACCCTTTCCTAGGTGTGAAATGTCCCTGCTTGGTCTTAGGTCAGTTCAAGCTTTGGTGTCTTAAGCAGCTGACTCATTCCATAATTAGCGTTTGTAACTACGGCAGGCACTATGTTGAACCAAACGTGGCCCCTGGCCTCCTGAAGTTTACAGTCTAACTAGAGAGCGAGATTAAACAGAAAAATAATTAGGTACATTTGCAAAAAGTGCAAGGAATAAAATGTTCATCAACGAGAGCATTTGGGGGGAAGTTACTTTTCTCTGGGCCTCAGTGTCACCCATCTGTAAAATAGAGCTGGTAAGATTTCTGTCACAAGGTTATGGCGGGGAATAAATGAGCTAATGAATATAAAACGCTCAGTTCACAGCGGCTGGCATAGAGCTGGTCCTCTGCAAAGTATAATGCTATTCCTATAAATAAACTCTAGACACTAGTCCTGAGCTAGACTGCTCATCTGCATTACCTCTGATCTCCATGAGCATAGGTTCTCTGCAGCTTTCCTGAAAATGCAGAGCTGACTCACCTATGTATATGTTCCAGAGAATCCCACAATCACTTAGGAGGGCTGAGGCCAGTTGTTGTGTCATAGGAAACAGGAAAAAGCTAAGGAAGGAGATCTCAGGAGCTCCTGAAGTATAGTGCCTAGTGGGAACCAGACAGCCATGCTTGGGTTCAAATCCAGGCTCCAGCACTAACCATCTAACCCTGACATTTAACAAGTTCATGATTCTTCCTGAGCCCTACTTTCCTCATCTCTTGAATAGGATCATAATACCTTGAATACCAATTCTTGAAATTGTAACAGGAATTTATTAACATTAAAAAAATTTTTAATGTTTATTTTTGAGAGAGAGGGAGGTAGAGCATAGCAGGGAGGTACAGAGAGAGGAGGACAGAGGATCTGAGGTGGGCTCTGTGCTGACAGCAGAGAGCCCGATGCAGGGCTTGAACTCATGAATCATGAGATCATGACCTGAACCAAAGTGTACCACTTAACCGACTGAACCACTCAGGCTACCCTATAACGGGAATTTATTGACAAAATGGAATTCGAGGTCTGCAGCTCTCCTCACTGCTCAAATACCTTATTTCAAACACCTGGAGTCTTTATGAGTTCCCATTATTAATGGAAAAATCTCCACTGCTGTCTGCCACATTCAGTCATTCTGCTCTCCTTCAGGAAAGAAAACCAAGGCTAAGTTGGCTCTGCCATATGTCCATGTACATCTTGATGGAGATTTCTGCTCAGAGCTGTGGAATGCTCTGATGGGCCCTGTGTCTTTTGGCTAGCTCCATTTCAAGATTCCAAACTGGAGTTGCACATAAATAAGAAAAATTGGAAGAGGTCTGTGGGCAAAACAGCAACCAACTTTCATTGTGAGACCTATGCTTTACACTAGAAGTCACATTTCAGAAATTGCTGGAAGGAAATTTTGAGATCTATTTTTAAAATGGAAATTGAGGGGCACCTGGGTGGCTTAGTCAGTTGGCTCTGTGCTTGACAGCTCAGAGTCTGGAGCCCTCTGCTGCAATTCTGTGTCTCCCTCTCTCTCTGCCCCTTCCCCACTTGCACTCTGTCTCTCTCTGTCAAAATTAAATAAACATTAAACAAAACTTTAAAAAATGGAAATTGAGGCCCAGAGAACTTACAAAATAACTAGCCTACATAAATGGCAGAAACAGGAGCCTGCATTTACTGCTTTGCCAAGGAACACTAAGAACACATTCCAGGGGGCGCCTGGCTGGCTCAGTCAGTAGAGTATGTGACTCTTGACCTCAGGGTCCTGAGTTTGAACCACACATTGGGGGAGGAGTCTACTTTAAAAAAAAAAGAAAAAAAGAACACATGGCAGTCAGCATGTTCTGTAGAGTTTTCAAAGTAAATGACCGATGTGTCTATTACCTCTTCTAAGAGCTCACCAAACACTGAAGAATGCTTCCCTCATCTCTCTCTGCTGTGGACGTCAAGAGTGAGGTTCACTGAACGAGGTGGGGCTGCAGGAGGGAGTTTGCCAGATGGTTTGGTAACGTGGGAACTGCCACCTGCTTTCGCTGCAAGGGGATACCATCTGCTTTCCTTACCTACCTGTTCACTGACGTATCGGAGAGGGAAACAATGATGCTGATGACACCTTCCTTTCAAGCACATTATAGTTTGTAAAGAACAGTCATGTCCATCCCCCTACTGGCCCTCCTTCCCAGTTCTGAGAAAGTATCTTGAGTAGGATTAATTCCCAGTTACTGAGGTTCAGAGCCAAAAAAAGTGAATTGCCATCTTTCTAAAGAGGACTGTAATCATAATTTTAAAACCTCAAAAATAATAGCATCTTTTCCTCATTTGGAATTTTTTTCTCCAAGAAATTCTGAGCATGCCATCCTTATGTTGTTGTTTTTTTTTCCCTAAAATCTCAAATGTTACCTCTTCAGAAAGGCCTTTCCTGCTCACCTAATACTGAGAGCTAACACATTGCACTCACTCTGTACATGTTATCACTTTAAGCCCTTTCTATATATTAACTCTGTTAACCCTCAGTACAAGTCTATACAGTAAGTATTATGCTTATCATCTCCATACGATATGATGGCAGTTATTATCTCCATAGAGAAGCCAAGAAAACTGAGGCACCAAAAGGATAAATAACCTTGCCAAAATCATGGTATGAGTAATAGAGCCTAGACTTGAACTTGACCATCTGGTGCTGGAGTCTGCACACTTTACCTCTACTATATTGCCAACCTAGGGTGCCTGGGTGGACCAGCCGGTTAAGCATCTGACTTGATTTTGGCTCAGGTCATGATCTCACGGTTTGTGAGTTCAAGCCCTGCCGTCCCCTCCCCGCCTCATCCATCCCCATGTCGGCCCTACACTGACAGTGCGGAGCCTGCCTGGGGTTCTCTGTCTCCCCTTCTCTCTCTGCGCCTCCCCAAGTTTAAGTAAGTAAACTTAAAAGAAAAATATACCGCCAACCTAAAGTAGGCTTCTTCCACTCCATTTTTCTTACTTACAGTGCCCCTCCTTTCCCTTTTTAGCACTAATCACACACTGCAATTAGGTATTTGCTCATTTATATGTATATCATTTGTCTCCTCTGTCTCCATGAGGGGAAGGATCATATCTGTCTCATTCACATTATAAGTGCTATATAACTATTTGGTGAATAAATGAAGAAATGTATGCTTGTGGGCATCATTCATTCTGTAACACACTTAAAATTTTTTTTTAGGGAGGGGCAGAGAAAGAGAGGAAGAAAGAAAGAATCCCAAGCAGACTCTGCATTGTCAGCGCAGAGCCAGATGCAGAGCTCAAACTCAAGAACTGTGAGGTCATGACCCAGCCGAAACCAAGAGTCAGACGCTTAACCAAATGAGCCACCCGGGCACTCTGCAACAAACTAAAAATTAATTTTAGGGGTGCCCAGGTGGCTCAGTCACTACTGAGCTGTCACTACAGCATGTGCCTCTTGATCTCGGAGTTGTGGGTGTGAGTCCCACATCGGGTGTAGAGATTACTTAAAAAGAAAATCTTAAAAAAAAATAATTTTACTTTGAAACAATTTCACAATTACAGAATAGTTGGAAAGAACTTCACTCGGAGATCTCATTAAAGTTTAGTCAAATGTCCCCCAAATACACTTTAGCGCAAGAAGATCCAGTCCTGGGTCACTCGAACAACAAATATTGAGCACCTGCTAGTTTTGGATTTTATAAGTCTCCTAAGTGGTCTCTCAACTGCAACAACTACCTACTACAATCTCATACAGCAACCAGAGTGATACTTTTATTTTTTGTTAAAAAAATTTTTTTTAACGTTTATTTATTATTGAGAGACAGAGAGAGACAGAGTATGAGCATGGAAGGGGCAGAGAGAGGAGACACAGAATCTGAAGGAGGTTCCAGGCTCTGAGCTGTTAGCACAGAGCCTGACGTGGGGCTGGAACTCACAAACCCAGCGAGATTATTATCTGAGCCCAAGTCAGACGCTCAACCAACTGAGCCACCCAGGCACCCCAGAGAGTGATCCTTTTAAAATGAGTTATACATGTTACTCCTCTGCTCGAAACCCTGCAGTAACTCCCTGTTAGATTAAAAGTAAAACCGTTCTTTTCTCTCATCTCCTCTCCTCTTGCTCCAACCACACTAATCTTCCCATTTCCAAAATTCCATCTAGATATGCTTCCACCTTAAGTTCTCTGTGCCAACCTCTTCCCTATAATTGCCCTCAAGTGTCTGACTGGCTAACTCCCCTACCTCTGGTGGTTCTTAGAAATACATCACCCCATCTCCCTATACTGCTCTCCCACCCCGGCACTTATCACTTTCTAAAATGCTGTAGTTATTTATTATGTTGTTTATGTTCTGTCTCCTCTTCTAGAATGTACTTACAGACAGAGGATAGAGATCTTTGTCTATTTTGCTTGCTCAATATCCTAAGTGCCTACAACAGTACCTGGCATACAGTTGGTGTTCAACCAATAGCTGTTAAATGAACAATTGTTGGTTATACTAAGTGCCAGGTTCTGTTTTTTGCACTGGGAGTAGAACAGAAGACTCCCTGCCATCATCAGACTCACACTGAAGCATACTTAAACCAGTTAGA